CCTTTCGCCTTAACAACTGCCTGAACTTTTAATGGCATTGTATTTACAAAGATTGGCACATTTGAGGAGAAAAATTATCTCAAATTTCCTGCAGTTTTGTCCGTAAATCAAAAATTGTTCGTTGAGGGTGGTTTCTTAAATATTGCTTCATTTATGCCACACAGTTTCTATAGCATTGAAGTCCGGACTACTTGCAGGATGGGATAGAACTTTTATATTATTATTACCGGACCAATTTTTAGTTAATTTTGCTGAATGGCACGATGCTCCATCTTGTTGGAAAATATAGTCTTCGTTTGGAAACAATTCTTGAGCACTAGGTAAAGTGAGGTCTCAAGTATATGTTGATATTTTTGGGCGTTAATAGTACCATCTATAAAATTTAATTTGCCCAAACCTCTTGCTGACATGTAACCCCAAACCATAATTAACTTAGGAAATTTAACAACCCTCTTTAAGAATCTTCATGAAAGGCTTCTGATTTATTTAGTATTATTCGTTTTCAATGATCTCCAACGCAAACATCAAATTTAGACTCATCGCTAAATATGACCTTATTCCAATCATTTTGTGTCCACGATAATTTAGGTTTTGCCCAATTGTAGCGATTTTTCTTTTGAATTTCTGTCAGTAGCGGTTTTTCTTTGGCCTAAATAAGAATTTGTATCAATAATCTTCAGGTAATTGATTATCCACACAAAAAAAAGTTTACCTTGTAAAACTATAATATATAAACGCTCAACTTGTAGATTGTACTTTAGTTTATAATCATCTGCTGATGATGCTAACATGGTTAGCGAAACGCGCGTCCAGTGTAAAAGTAAAAGTGTTTTGGTGTATTGTGGTGATTTAGTGTTTTTATTTTGCTTGTAAAACCCCAGACCGCATTTATGGATATATTTTCGGCAACATTCTCTTGATATATTTAAACCAATTACAGTATTCCATTTAACTGTTACTTCGTGAAGAGTACTTCTTCTCGCAGACTTGCAAACTTATACTAAATTTCGTAAATCTCTCTGAGATACAACTTTTGGCCTTCCCGAACTTTTACCTCTAATGTCTACATTCGCCGTATTTTTTTTATTATATTAAAGACCGTGGTTTTTGGAATACTTAAATCATCAGAAATTTTTCGAATTGTTTTTCCCGTACTGTATTGACGAATGATAATTTCGCGTAGTTTTTGATTTGTAGCTTTTCCACGGACCATTACTTTGAATTAGATTAACAAAATTGAAAATTAAAAAAAATAAAATTACTTACAGTAAATCTCACTACTCAAAGTATCGACTCACTTACAAACTGTCAATGCTGAAGTAAACAGTTTGCGACATTTGTGACGTTTATAGCAAAGCCGCCTATGATGATATTAATTATTTAAAAATACTTGTCCCAACATTTAGTTGTCAGCAAATTTGTCCTTTTATGAACAAAATCCGCTACTGTAAATATGGATTGATTTGTAAATTCATAAAAATATTGTCAAGTTGTTTAGGATATATGGCTATGTTTATATTTAAAAAATTAAACATATATTTTTTAGTCATTTTGAAAAACCAGGGCAATAATTCCAAAATATGACCTTATCCCAACATATAGTTGTTAGGGCTCGTATAATTTTTACCTGGATATAAAGAACAGTTGAAAAAAGAAATATTAACATAAAAATATTACTTGGATTTTTATACCATTATTTTGAAGTTATATTATTTAATTTTTAGAATAGAAAGAATATTAAAATATGCTGTACTCAGGTTTTCTACGTCTGTTCTTTTATTAACGCAATTTTTGTTTTTTTGGATTTCTATCATCTCTGCAAACAATATTTTCTTATAATTAGATTGTGTTTGTAAAATAGTGGTATTGTCAAAATCGAAGTTATGGCCTGTCTCTAATTTGTGTTCTACTAATGCGGTAGGATTAGATTTCAAAATAAAGTTTTCTTGGTCATTTTTAGATAACTTCTTCATTTTAAGATTTTGATGATCAAACATCAACAAAATGTACCTTATTATGTTTGGTCTAAAGTTTCTCTAAAAGAAAGACATGATTTAAAATTCCGTTACAATAGGGAAATAGATTGAAATTTTGTGATTACAGTGATATATAATTTATATGGTTTTGTAACAAATTGCTCGCTATTTTATGGCAAATGCTGAAGCTCTGCATCTTAATCAAGCCTTAATCAAAGCACATGTGGAATTTTGAGTGTGGCTTAACACGACAGGATCGGGCTGAGCTTTTAAGACTCGTCGTCTCTAATATGTAACTAGATAAAGTAAAATGTTATTATTATATTAATACTTACTGTTTTGTTCTTCATTTCGGTCAATTTTTTCTCTAGCCAAACCCATTGCGCCGTTGCATCTTCATCGTCTTCCGGTCTTCTCATTAAATTTGTGTTCAACACTATAACTTGAAGTTTTAAAGATTTTCTTTCTATTAGGTAGTATCCACCTGAAACAAATCGTAAATTTAATGTCTCAGTTAAAATTTTTGTAAATTTAATAGTTAACAGGCTTATTCACCTCATTTGATACAGAGTATTGTAGCCACACGATTAGATTTTAGAAATTGTGATAAATTTTTAGACACTCTGTATAAGGTAGTATAATTTTATTATTGCAACACAAAATTTAGTAAACAGGAAAACCTCAGTACAATATTTGGTTTTAAAAACTATGCCTAGAGAAATGAAGCATTAAAATTATTTTTACTGCATTTTCCATAGACTTAAAATAAAATATAGACTGAGCATCTCATTCATAAATAGCTGGAACATGCGGTCAGACACCGCATGTTCCAGCTATTGTCTTGTTATTGTTGTGTTATTGTTTTAGGTTATAACGAGTGCGACACGAGTGATAGATAGGTTGTCTCTGTCGTAACGGTCGTTCCCTGACGACTCTGCCGAGAAACACAACACTGTCTTTCGTTTCTCAAGTACACCTGAACTCTCCGTATCATAGCCGGGTAATTTTTTTATTTTAATGAAGCTATAATTAAATTAAAAATATATCGTATTTAAACTTTTTTATATTTTATTAAGATTTAGGACAGGTTTTTTAAATATAAGTTTAGAAAAAACAATTTAGAGTCCAAAAAGGATAAAAATAATAAAATACACGTTATAGAAGAAATTTTATAATTGAAATTAGGTAATTTTTGAAATTAATAATAAATTATTAATTTTAGTCAAACATTTACAACCCCTAATATTAATCAAAACAGGATCTATTCCACAGATATAATAGAATCGGCGACAGGGAGAGAAAAAAAAATATGATTGTTGTAATTTTGTTTCTGGTTAAGTGATGTCTTATTATGTAAATTAGAGAAAACATAAATCTGTTCCATTAAAGCAAGGAAGGTGATAAAATAAAAACTACATTTATTTAACTCGGTACTGTCTTTATTATACCAGGTGCGTCTCAAAAGTGGCTCATCCCCCATAATTTTTTTATATTTTCAAATAAAAAAACAAGATTTAGTATGTTAGTATATGAAATAAATTAGGATTGATTGACGCATTCAATTGTTTTTGGTCACTTCCTTTTTAACCGGAAATGACTATAACTTTTTATTTTTAAACGGCACCCTCCGTATATTTCTACTTTATTCGATAGAAAATGACACTCTGAATAGAATGACATATCATATGTCAACTTTTGACATTTTCGCATATGGTTTAATTGTAATTGTAAAACGCGGTTCATAACGACAATTTGACTCGAAATACCAAGTGTGTGGTATCAATATATTCATAAAAAAATGCTTTTTCCAAATATGCTAATGAGTCACCCTTGTTCCATTTGAAAAAATTTGCATATGTATGATTAAAAATACGATTTGTACATCTGTTAACCGGCCTAGACAAGACACGAAACCTATTAGACGATCAAAACTATTTTTCCAAGGCTCCTTGATTAAAACTTAGTGGATTGAAAAAAACTGGATTGAAATTTAAAATAGGATATGTTTTTAAGCGACAATGTCAAAAGTTGACATATGATATGTCATTCTATTCAGAGTGTCATTTTTTATCGAATAAAGTAGCAATATACCGAGGGTGCCTTTAAAAATCAAAAGATGTAATCATTTCGGTGAAACAGGAAGAGACCAAAAACAATTGCATAGGTCAATAAATCCTAATTTATGTCATATACCTACTAATATACAAATCTGTTTTTTTATCTGAAGAAATAAAAAAAGTTATAGGGTTGAGCCACTTTTGAGACGACCCGGTATATTAAAAAATATTGTTTCATAATGTAATATCATTTTAAAATTCTTGTATGTTATTTTAGATTCTGAAGATAATTTTAGAATAAACCGGAATATATTTTTAATAAAAACATTATTAATTATTAACAGGGTTATAATTATGATTTTGTTACAATGTAAGTAAGTAAATAATGTAATGTAAGAGAAAAAATTCAGATTTTACATTTTACTAAAATATTATCTAAATAAGCGCCTTTCTACAACAACGCCACTGACTCCCAATGGGTAAATTGAGAGTTGCCTACCGGTCAAAAGTCGTTTCAAGACTTAAATGGATTATTTAAGTCAAATTTCTTGCAAATTTGGCACTGGCGAACCATATTTTATAGTTCTTGAACAGAAAAAGTCAATAAAATAAACACTTAAGCACTACAAGCTAAGAAAATGCGTTAATACAGCCGGGGAGATAGCGGCAACAAAGCTTTACCGCACACGTGCGACACGTACTACAAGGTAATAAATGAATGAATAGGCTCCCTCGCCTCTAATCGGTGTTGTCATATTGTAAAGAACTTATCCTTTTTAAACAGTATCCGACTTATAATTTAGTAGTATAAGGACTATTTAATACATCTCTGGAATATTAAAACCTACTTTATTAAACTGTAGTATTAATATCTCAATATATGTGTATAACAAGAAAAAAAATATTGATAATATTAAAGACGTGACAACATAGGCTGGATGAGGAAGGCTCGGTCGACTGTACCCAGAAGTAAACATGTGTACAAAAAATATTGTCTGTCCGCGTTGAGATGTAAATATGTAGTCTATATTTTTATTTTAAGTCTATGGCATTTTCAGAAAATCGTAAATATTTCACAAACGGTAAGATTAAAGTGGGGTAAATTTTAATCAAATCTAAGCATAAGAAAAACTAGCAGCAAGCATTATTATTCCTTTGTAACAATTTCAGTTACTAAACATATCGCCAAATTTTATTATTACAGCAAACAGAAAAATATATGTTTACAACGAACATTCCTTAACTAGGATAGCGTAAAAGCTGGAAGATTTACAATAGAAATTTGCGGCTATTGTTAATAAATAATATAGATTCGCCTTGAGGTCGAGGTAAAATACCGCCTTATAAAATTCTAGAATCCTCAATAATTGAGCCAGACTAGTTTTCCAGGCTGGAATCTGATCGTAACAGTAGATGGAACGTTTGGATTCTTTGTCGGTTTATATAGACCTAATGGTCGTCTTTTTTCGTTTTTTTTTTCTCCTAAAATTAGCCACGCTACTCTGTAATTTTCGACTTTACTTTTTCTTGTTTATTAGTATTTTCGAGGTCTATAATTTATTTAATTTTTCTTGTCAGTTTATCTCTGTTTTTGATCACAGACCACAAAGTAGATTTTAGCAATGCAGAACTTACGATGAAAGAACCAGGAGTATCTAAACTAAAATTAAGAGTGGTTTTTCTAATCAATTGGATATAAATAAATGCATTAGCAGTACTGACATCTGTAGATGATGTTAGTAATGTAGGACTATCACTTCTTTAATTTTTCAAACACTACAAAACAGAGTTCTTATTAAGTAAAACAAAATTGTCATATAATATATGAAAATATTCTTGAGTGGCATTCTATATAAAGTGTCATTCTAGAAGTTCACACTATTTAAAGAAGAAAACATTCGACCAATGTATACTACGAGTCATGGTCTATGCATGTGAAACCTGAACACTTAAAACGGACATTATAAGGAAACTTTAGGTCGCACAACGCTCAATGGACCTAAATATGCTGGCAATAACCAAGAGAGACCGTAAAAGAATAAAGTGAATACGACAAAGGACCCAGGTAACACAAGAAAGAGTCAAATCCCTCACTAGAGTCAAATCCATCAAATGTCAATGGGCTGGACACCTGGCAAGAAGAACGGACAATAGATGGACCATAAGAATTACAGTATGCTACCCACGAGAAATTATAGACCTAGAAGAAGACCGAACCTGAGATGGGACCATGATATTAGGAAATTAGCAGTGATAACTTGGGCTCGCATAGCCAACAATAGGCCCAACTACAAAGAGAGTATGTGAGGGAGGCTACACCATAATTGGTAATGGTTGAATAATCTGAAAGTGATGATGGTATGAAAATATATTGTACTAGAACTGTAAATTTGGTTTTTGTTTAAATTCTAATGCACTGGCATTTAAAATAATTATAATTTTTTTTTAGGTTTCTACTTCATTTCCGAAACACAAAATTTTTTATTTTAAAAATAGGCCCCCTGCAAAAAAGAAACATTATTTAGAATAAACCAAATGAGTTTTTATAAAAACATATAAAACATTCATTGAAAGCATTAATGCTATAAAATACTACTCCAAAAATATTGCTAAAACTCTTTCTACTTTTGTAGAGAATTATAGTTATTTTTAGAATTTTTAACAAACGAGTTAAATATAAAAACGGCAACATAAAATTCGTTTTTAAATAAAAATATGGAATCCACTGCGTAATTTTAAATATTATAGTAATAAACAAATTCCTTTGAATCTCTCTGTAACAAACGATGGTGTTATATGTTTGTAATATTTAAAAGTACTAACACGATATTTTTAGTTAAGAGTGAAATTCGTGTTCTAATTTTTACAATTAAATGAAGTTTTATTGAGAATTTTATAGATTAGTTGCTGATATCTACTCAGGATACAAAAATAATTATTTTAACACTTTTATGAATGAAACGGGTACCAAATAATGATGAATTATGAAATAAATATCTTTTTGGGCATCTTTTGCTGATCTCGTGAACATAAAATGTATATAATATAATATAAATGGGATTTGGTTTAAGTATTTAATACTCATTTCCAACTACAGCCTATTGCTGCCTTTCCGTTACCCTACGCCACACATCTCGATTTAGAGCGTCATCAGCTTCTAGGTTACGAGCTTCCATTGCTTCCGTAACCGTTCCGTTCCAGGATTTTCTAGGTCTACCTCTCTTTCTTCTGCCCTGGGGAGCCCACTGAAAAACTCTTTTTGGCCACCTGTTCTCCGGCATACGCAGAACGTGTCCAAACCATTTTAAGCTGGATTTTTCGATTCGATCCAGTACTGTCTCCTCCGATGCATTCATGATACGCCTGACCTCGATGTTTGTCTTTTTTTCCATTGGCTTGATATACCTGCGCTTCTTCTAAGGTAGTC